CTACCATACTATTCGTTGATGCGAGATAAATGTTTATTTTTAACAAAAAAGTATGTATCTTCTCGCACGTATGAGCAACACGCCCTTTGAAGTTTGACCGTGCCTACTTCTGACAACTGCAAGGAGTATATTATAAACTAGTAGCTGCTCATGTGCACTCCAGATTCTTGACGTGTGTCTATAAGACTTATTCAAATTTAACAAAAAAAGAAATTTGGATGCGCGCATGCGCAATCAAAAGTTTGGCATAAGCGTTCAATGGTATAATGAGAAACATCCATGTCTAGAAAGCATTAAAATTTTCAGATTTCCATTCCCATTTGCTCCCTATTCTAGCGATATATCAATATATGACAAATATATCGCTATGGAGCCAAAGAAGAGTGAGTTCGGAAGGACATGCAGGGTGGCCCACTGAAAACAGTCAATGGCAATTTCGCCCACTGAACGACAGTTTTGCCAGAAACGCTCGAACATGTATATTTTAGTTTTGAGGGGGACACCTAAATTAAGTAAGTAATACTACTTACATAACTTTAATCCTGAGAAGGGGATGAAATGTTAGATAGGTCAAAAGGAATGTCCATTATGTTTTCAGAACTGTTTTTATTTTTCAAATCCGATCAGTAGTTCCAGAGAAAAAACGATTTAAATGGATTTGCAGAGCCATTTTAAATGTTTATTAATTAAGCGTTGAAGTTGAATTAATTGAGAGTTTGTGTCAGAAATGAACATCTGACATACTTAAGTGCAATAAGTGCACAAGCAATGAAGCGAATTTGTGATTAACTTGTTTAATTTTGTGGTAAATTCAAAAACAATTACGGTTTACACTATAGCGCAAAGGGTGGAAATTGTTTCGATTTTTTTTTAATGGCGATTCTGCCTTCACAAATTAGAGCTGGCTGACATTTTTGGGTAGGTATATGACGTACGCTGAAAACTTGTCCAATACTTCTCCAATAATACCCAAACACAGAATTGCACACCTGGCTGAGGAATAGCGGGGCAATCCTTATATGTTTAAAGATACAATTTTTTTGCAGAAAATGTTATTGAGGTATTTCGAAATTTTTACACCTGTAAATTTAATATTTAATGAGCGAAAAAAACCGTAAAACAGATCATTTAGTAGGGTCTTACACTTTTCTGGATACACTTATACTACGGCGTGGGCGTAATCGTATGATTATCCCTAAGACACTACGGGAACGGGTCCTCAACAACCTGCACACTGCACCAAGGCATTAACAGGATGAGGGACGTTTCATACAGTGCCGTATGGTGGCCTGGTATACACACTCAGATTGTTGAGTTAGTCAAAGCCTGTTGTATATGCAGAGCACGTCTTCACAAATCTCACTGTACATACAAGTCATTGCCAACACGAACTGGACATTGGAAACGGGTCCATATCGACTACTGCGTCTACAATGGGCAGAATTATTTTATACTAATAGATGCACGGAGTCGCTGGCCCGAGATCATTCCGGTCACCACCCTTACCTCGGCAGGACTGATTCGCCACGTACGATACATCTTCGCAATCCAAGGCGGGCCCAAGGATTATATGTTTACTTGTAAATGAAAGCTCTTAAATAGCTCGTAATTCCAGTACAAAGTTTAATGTGAAAAAAATAATTCTGATCAGTGGGGGGGCTTAGTCCAAGTAGACTCGGCCACCCCATAAGAAATGTTCGATTCCTAGTGATTAAAGCGAGCTCTAAAATTTTAAGCTTGCGATATGAAAAGCTCCTAAATAGCTCATAAATTGGATACCATTCTTAAATTGATTCACAATGGTGGGGGGGCTAGGTCCAGCGGGGTCACAAAATGATTGATTTTTTAAAAGAATGTAGTCATTGAGAATTTACAACATTAAATGCTTTTATATATTGTTGTGTAAACAACGTCATATAGACGGTATGTAATTGAAAATATTTCAATATTAACTAAATCGGGGGATTATTTACGAAATAAATACAGAGTAAGTTTGATTTATTATAATTTGTATTTCAGTGCTTGTTTTTCTTCTTAGTCTTTGTAATTTATTCAATTTAGATAGGGGTTTCGAAGTAAGACACATCTGGGCGTCTGCGATAAGGAGTTTCATTACCAGGTGATATTTAATTATCGCACGTGTTTTATCGCCATTAAGAGATAAGAAATGCGTGTGGGCAGTCAGCCCGATTTGTTTTATTAAGGACGCAGTTCGTAATTTTTTAAATAATAAATCTCTACAGAAACAAGTTCACTAAAATTGTGTGGGAAGACTAATATGTTTTGTTCGATTACGGAAAAAGTTTTCTCGAGTTGAGAAAGGAAGCAGTGTATTACAGTGTTTATCGGATTCAATAAACCAGATTTTGTCATTAAGTTTAGTGTTGAAGCTGTTAGCGATTGTGTGTGAGTTAAGTGCGGCTGAATATCGCAAACCTTGTACGACCACATTATTTGGATTATTAAAATGAAACTCTAATTTAAGATGTTTTATTTGTTTGTTTGTCGACCGATTGCGTGCGGGGTAATATGTCCAAACAAGCTTTTCTTTCTTTCAGGGATTTTGTTTTTATTTCTTTCATGTGCTTCGGAACGAATGTTTGTCATTGTCAATCAATTAATTGTGTGTTTATTTGAATCCATTGGGCGACTCGGATAGAGTCTTCATGTGAGATTTTTCTTTTCGTGTCCAAGAGTTATTTCAGGTTTTGTAATAAATTCTTTGGAATTTCGAAAGTTGATCGAAGAGAAATCCTGGACCTCGACACCATAAATAACTAAATAGCAAAAAAGTGGGAGGCGTGCTTCTTAAGATAGAGATCTGATAGTGACATCGCCGAAACGAATAGTGGCCACAACAGCGCATTTAGCCTCGACTGCCGTTCACTGAATCTTAACCCATTCGATTTTAAAAAGAGTCATCCACAAATATACGACGCGCAAAATATAAGACCTAATTTGGTATTTAATTTTAAAGGCCAATTTGAGCACCGTCGGAAGTAGACCCTAATCATCTATCCAATGGCAGTTTTCTTTTTCCTGTACGTTGACATTTGGGGGAAGAATCAAGGAAAATGTCTCTGTCCAATGTTATATGTCCGGCTGGAAATTTGCACTCTGACACACACACACAATATTAAGTAACAATCAGATTTTCATTACCTAAACGACCCAAATTTACTCGGTAAAATACAAACCTCTTGTGCAATTATAAGTGAGTATTCAAGATATCTAAGTATTAAGTAAAAAGATTTCTTTACATAATACTGATCCAAAAAGGAACGACCAATTTCGGAAACATTCAGACTTTCATTGCACTTTATATGTAAATCATTAACGGTTGCACATTTTGTTTGTTCTTATTATTACTCTTGCGTAGTGATACTACTACTCGAACGTTTTAATGGGTCAGTTTAAACTCATTTGAATCACATGAAGTCAAACATCATATTTTCCTAAACGAATTTACTACATCCATTTGCCAAATTCAAACCAGAAGTTGTAAAAGTCATTCAAACGAAATCAAATATAAAAACACGTTAATAGAACAACGCATTGAAAAGTAAATCCCTGCAAAATGGGTTTTTTTCCTTTCCACACAGAAGTACGTGAATATAATGTTGAAACTCTGTCAATCGGCGAATTCTTTGTTCTCGCAGCCTCAACATCAAATACATAATAAAATTTGTTTGCTTCCTTGCACCAAGAGCAAATAGATTTCAAACCGCATGCATGAATAATAAACTTCGAATGCTTAAAACGGTATTCGCAGGATAAAAAACGAATCAAATGCAATTCAAATCCTATTCAAAATTGCTACAGTTCCTTTAGATTTCACAGTTCAGAAATAAAATTTATGGAATGTCTAAATATGTGCGCAAGCGATGGCATCGATAAAGCATAAACCAAACCTGGAAAATGGAAAATATTATTTTCCGCGCTGATAATTATGATTTATGACAAGCGAAGTTGGAACAGATGAAATATTGGTTGTATTAAATGAAAACAAATACTCAGATCATACTTTATTTCTACACACGTAGGTACAGCGCGAACGCCGCTGGCAACTGACTTACACGCTGTATCGCTACACAAATATACATAACACGTAGAGAGGAACTCGTATAAATTTCCGTATTAGCAATATACCGTAAATTACGGAAGCGCTGAAGGACCATCAAACTTTTTTTTTTATCTTGAACGGTCGACTTTTTATCTTGAACGGTCGACTTTTTATCTCGACCGGCCGACTTTTTATCTCGACCGGTCGACTTTTTATCTCGACCGGTCGACTTTTTATCTCGACCGGCCGACTTTTTATCTCGACCGGTCGACTTTTTATCTCGACCGGTCGACTTTTTATCTCGACCGGCCGACTTTTTATCTCGACCGGTCGACTTTTTATCTCGACCGGTCGACTTTTTATCTCGACCGGCCGACTTTTTATCTCGAACGGTCGACTTTTTATCTCGAGCGGTCGACTTTTTATTTCGACCGGTCGGCTTACTATCTCGCCTCGCCCGATTGGCTTTATTGCTTGCTTGTATTTTGCTCTTTTAATGTGTTATTTTTTAGCAAAGAGAAAACGCTTTAGTAGTCATCATTTAACACTGTGTATTGTAGTGAGTTATTGTTAATTGTGCTACACAATTTTGCAGGTAAGACCATGTACAGTGTATAGCCTAATGAAAATGTTTACCACGAGTGATGAACATTATTGCATATCTCATTCGGTCATTCTCAGCTAAAAGTAACAACGAACAATGAACGTAGCTGTGCGATACGTAGGTATATTGCGCAGGGTACCTATACTTACGCGTCGCATTATGCTTATATTATACTTATTCATTTAAATAATCCATTAGCAGTATTTCGTTTATGCATTTACTTCTCTAATCGGTTGTCGTGGTTTTATACAGAAATTTGCGGAATTACTGTGCTGAGGTAAAATGGAAGATTTTTTACGTAGCAGAGGTATTCCAGAGGAAAAAATATCTAGAATGTTAGAAGAAAAGGTAAGATAATCGGTTGCTAGTAATCATTTATTATTTTAATGAAAAATTGTTTATAGATTACTCCGGATGTGGTATTATTAATGAACGATACCAAATTAGCAGAATTCGTACCAAAATATGGTGACCGTATTGCATTAATGCAGTATTGCAAAGCACAATTGGATTCGACCCGTTTAATGACTGATAAAAAAGAAAGTCTGTTAGAGAGTTTAAGGCAAAAGCTGAAGGGAGGCGGTAATAGCAGTCCAAAGAGGTGTAAAGGTCATCCTCAAGACGTTAAGCAAATTGAGGTAGGATGGTTATGCCACATGAATCTGGATGGCAAATATAAACAAGTACGGGAGAAGGGAGGTGGCGGTACAAGAAAAATGAAGGTGCCTAAGGAAGCAAACAAGGACTTTATCTTAACGAAGGCTCTAGATTTGTTTTTCCCGAACGGGCATTCTTCAAAAGGAGATTTAAGTAAATTTGACATAAATTTATTTGATTTCCAAAATCACGAAGTTGATAAAGATTCAACAGTAGCTGAACTATTGGAAAAAACTGGTTTGTCTAAACTAAGATTTTATCTTGCAACTAGAGAAACTGTAGTAGAAACTGTTGAAGATGTAGTTGAGATTTTAGAGGTAGGTAATGCCATTGAATAAAAACAATAACCAATGAACACATCTAGACTCAGCACATGTTGATTTCTTAATATACTATTATTATTTACAGCCTGATCATCCCACCATAAATGAGCCAGTGGATACCAATAAGGGTACGCTTGACACTATAGTCGAGTATACATTACAGCAGTTTCCAGATGAAAACCATAGTAACGTAAGAAAATAACTACACGTTTTATTGAACAAATCTTAATGTTATGGCAGTATAACGGCTTTCCCTAAAATTCATCGCTAGCGCTTGGATATCAACCTAGCACGTACGGCTTTTATATGGCCATAACACAATAATACTATATTAATACCGTTCCGTACTCAATAGATATTATTTCAGGAAGATGTATCACTAGTGCAGCTTGATAATGAAGAAATACGTAAGTTGTGTCATATACTTTTAGTGTGTTTAATTTCTATATTAACATTAGGCATGGAAAGTGTTGATGTAACCCATTCCTTAAATTTCGAATTTAATGAATTAGTTGATAGTATTATACATGAATATAATGATCCACCTATAAATGAAGAACTGACTCCAGTTAGTACTAAAGGGTGCGAACCATATTGTACAGCGGTTGATATTTTATTGGACTTACAGCGAAAAATTTCCTATGATAAAATCAACAAGTTCAACATTTTCCGCAGTGATATTTTTGTTTGTTGTGTCCGTGCAATGCGCCGAAAAACGTTCAATCCCTTTTTCAAAACGTCTGTTAAATTTAGTGATATTGAGGGAACCACAGAAGGCGCAATAGACGAAGGGGGGCCCGCTAGAGAAATGTTCCGACTTGTTTTACTTTATTTACAAGACAGTCAATTATTCGTTGGTGAGAAGAAAAAATATATTTCTTTAAATAATAATTCACTAAACCAAAATTATTATTTTGAGGCTGGTAGAATTATAGCTTTAGCACTGGTACATGGTGGACCAGCACCTCATTTCTTCTCAGAAAGTTTATATTCGTTAATAGCATATGGTATAGAGGAAACTACACCTACTATAGAAGATGTTGAATCTGATATTAAAGATTTATTGGTTCGACTGGAACAGACTACAAATATCTTAGACTTACAAGAATTAATTGCATCTGACAATGCTTTTTCAATTGCTGGGTGCCATTATGTCACAAATCTTGACGAAAAATGTCGTATCGGTGAAGGTAAACTATTTGTCATATCTCAGTTATACTTAATGTAATATTATGTTTTAGATATGTTAAAGTTTTATGCAATAAAGCGAGTGGAGGAACCAATAAAGCAATTTATAGAAGGGTTAAAAACATGTGACATTTATAATCAAATTAGGGAGTATCCTCGTTTGTTTAAAGACATGTTTTGCAAAGATCAAATGATCCTCACAGGAGAAACATTAGAAAACATTTTTCAGATAGAATACAGTGATATAGGATCTACTCAACGTGATCTGGAAAATAGGGCAATGTCTTATTTTAGAGATTACATAGGAGATTGTGAAGGTAAGCTGTACCTACTGATCAAGAAAAATGAATATGAATTAGAAATTTCTAGAGACTTTGTTGGAGGACGATGCAGATGAAAATGAAGGCCAAGCGATTACATTAGCCGATATCTTAATATTTGCAACTGGTGCAGACTGTGTGCCGCCTTTAGGATTTCCAATCGTACCAAAAATTATGTTTTTACACGGCGAGAACAGCGGGAAGTACCCACTAGCTAACACATGCGCATTAAATTTGAAAATTCCCACTATTCACAAGCGGTATGACGACTTTAAAGCAAATTTAGACTTTGCATTTGGAAATTGCAAATCTTTTGGATTTGCATAGTTTAAATTACGATATCTTGAGAAGGATTAAGAATTTCGTTTTTTTTAAATATTAGTGTTTGTTGTAACATAGGTAGCTGTTAAATAAATTCATGTGTTTTAGTAGCTTTATTTTAAACGTAGGTACATCTCATGTTAGCATGTACCTACTGGTGCTGCGCAACTACAATACAGTGCAATACAACGTCTAAGACCAGCATAGTGGGTATACTATAACAATAATGACAGAATTTGGTTTCGCAAATTTGTGTACAAAGTAATAGCTTCGAACACATCGGAAGGTTTATTATGATTCATTTCGAACGCAATAATCTGACATAAGTTGAATACATCTTCATCAGCACAAGGGCTATTTAAAAATATGCATTCATCTTCGCAGTTCTGTACATGTAGAGAATTAATTTCTGTAATGTAATTTTCACAATTATAAACTTCAGGAAAATTATAAAGCAAGTCAGGGCGTCCAGGGGGACAAGTTCCATTTTTATTTTTTCGTATATAGTGGCTGTTCCATTCCAGTACGATGGTATTCAGTTCATTCTGTAACAGAAAAATGAGGCGTAATTCATGCCTTGTTAAAAGATTTACTTACCTGAATCAAATCCATAAAACAATACTGTACGATAGATTTATCAAGAAAAGTCCCATTAAAAAGTCCATCGTTTCTTAGTTCACTGAATAAATTTATCCAAAACTGACTGTTGTGTTTTCTTAAGATCGACCACCACGATTCAATGCGCTGGTTGGTATGACTGCTTCCATATAAAAAAGGCGGCAATCTACTATTAGTTTGATAAGTTACAGTAACCTCATCAAAATATTTTTGTATGTGTTGTATGTTACCATTTTCGGTACCCATGTCTGTTCGAATTGTTCGTGGAAAGCCATTCCATTCTTTCACGGTGTTTATATAGTACCCTCCAATTACTCTCGGATCATTATTGGTATAACCAGCCTTCAACCACATTATTTTACGAGAAAATCCATCTATACAACCACTAATGCAAATTCCGAAAGGTTTCAGTTTGTCGTATCCGTCAACATGCCAAATGTAATTAGGTCCCTTATTCCAATATTTCCTTCTTTGTAATCTTCTACGTTTCCTAGTTAACACACCAACTGGATCCATAATATTTAATAAGTCGCTCACGTCTTTCTGCTTAACATTGAGACCGGCCTGTATACATCTTCGGTGAACCCACTTGTAACCGTGTAACCGTCCAGATGAAAAAATTTGATTATTTAGAAATGCAACAATATCTTCAAAAGTAGAGTAACTTTTTCTTCGAAACAAATTCAAACGCTTGAGGTGTCTTTTTAATGTCGTCAGACTAATAGACCAATTATGCAAAAAAAGAAATAAACATATTTCATACTGGCGAAAACCCAGATGAAAATAATATTTAATTGCTGTATCTAAGTCACTTAGCTCCATAATATTTTATGCTGAAATTAGAAAACAACTACGTTTAATTTCATTATTCATCAAACACCTAATCTTACCTGCTGATAATTCTATTACAATCCACAAAAGTCAATCACAACTCATAGAGCGCTATAACCGAATAATGTAAAACAATTGCTCCTTACTTGAGATGAACAAAAACCACACCATATGACAGTTACTTACTTAGTAATCCCATAAAACTCAAAATATAAAAACCATAAAAAGTCGGCTGGTCGAGATAAAAAGTCGACCGGTCGAGATAAAAAGTCGACCGGTCGAGATAAAAAGTCGACCGGTCGAGATAAAAAGTCGACCGGTCGAGATAAAAAGTCGACCGGTCGAGATAAAAAGTCGGCCGGTCGAGATAAAAAGTCGACCGTTCAAGATAAAAAGTCGACCGTTCAAGATAAAAAAAAAAGTTTGATGGTCCTTCAGCGCTTCCGTAG